TTTTTGGGGCGCCACGGGGCGCCGCAGGACACCTATCGATCACACTGTCGATCTCACTGTCGATCTCACTTTGTGGGTCACCACGGGGCGCCGCGGGGCGCCTCGGGAGCCGTGTCGATGACAGTGTCGATCTCACGATCGATCTCGCTCAACGGGGCACCACGGGGCACCGCGGGGCACCGCGGAGCACCGCTGGACGGACGGGCGGGCGGGCGGGCGGGGGATAATAATTTGTCTTGGCTTCGCCCTAGCAGCGGCGGACATCGCGGGGCGCCGCGGGGCGCCGCGGGGCACCGCGGGGCACCGCGAGCCACCGCCGGGCGGGCGGGCGGGCGGGCGGGGGAAAATGATTTGTCCTGACTCCGCCCTAGCAACGGCGGGTTCATTCCTCTCGCGCGCCCGCGCAGCTTCGCCTCGCCCGCGCGCGCGCGGCGCGGGCGAAACGACGCGGTTTCCCGCTTGGGGGTCTCCATTCCACTGCGATCTCCCCCTCCGACCTCCGATCGATTTCGCTCTGTGGGACACCGCGGGGCGCCGCGGGGCACCTCGGGGCGCCGCGTCGATCTCGCTGTCGATCTCTCTATCGATCTCACTATCGCCGGGCGGACGGGCGCGCGGGCGTGCGGGGGGTACTCATTTGTCTAGACTTCGCCCTAGCAACGGCGGGCGCCGCGGGGCGCCGCGGGGCGCCGCGGGGAACCGCGGGGCACCGCGAGCCGCCGCCGGACGGGCGGGCGGGGGCTAATGATTTGTTTTGACGTCGCCCCAGCACAAGCGGGCGCCGCGGGGCGCCGCGGGGCGCCGCGGAGCGAGCACCGCGGGGCGCCGTCGGACGGGCGGGTGGAGGATTATCATGCGTTTTGGCTTCGCCCTAACATCGGCGGGCGCCGCGGGGCGCCGCGAGCCGCCGCCGGGCGCCGGGCGGGCGGGCGGGGGATACTGCTTTGTCTTGACTTCGCCCTAGCAGCGGCGGGCGCCGCGGGGCGCCGCGGGGCGCCGCGGGGCATCGCGCGCCGCCGCCGGACGGCTGGGCGGGCGGGCGGGGAATAATAATGTGTCTTGGCTTCGCCCCAGCAACGGCGGGTTCGTTCCTCTCGCGCGCCCGCGCTGCTTCGCCTCGCCCGCGCGCGCGACGCGAACGAAACGAAGCGATTTCCCGCTTGGGGGTCTCCGTTCCGCAGCGATCACCCCCCCCAACCTCCGACGAGCACCCCTCCACGGTTCGCTCCCCCCCCCAGTCCGCGAATCCCAAGGGGAAAGGCTGCGTGCTCCGAACGATGTTCAAACGGGGCTTGATCTCGAGGGAAGCCGAGATCCCGGATGGCACGGCGTCAGGCATGGGGCGTGGCGGAGGCGAAGGCATTCGACATGTCGTGATGGTTGTTGAGATGGGCAAGCTTCGCATCCGAAGTCGATGCCCCACGCGCCGTTGCGCTGCCAGGGCGTCTTCGCGACGCCGAGCGGGCAGACGCCCGCGGCAACTCGCTGTCCAGCCCCGTGGTCGTGAAAGCGGGCCTCGTCGGATCGGGGCCCCAGAGAAGCCCTTCCAGCGCGGGCAAACTGTGTGCGTGGGGCGTTTTCCCCCGGGCCCGCGTCTCCCATTGGGTTTCAGGATCGGGAAGCCCGGGGGGGGGGTCGGGCAGCCCGGGGAGAGATGGGCCAGCTTCTCGCTGCAGCACTCGAATCCACCGGTGCATGTTTTCAAGCGTTCGCATGCCTGCGAGGGGGGTGGCCAGCCTACTCGATCAGCGCCAAGTCCTCATCGAGGCTCGTCGGCGTCCGCGACGCAGCTGGCCCCGGCGGCCATGGGAACGACCTCGGTGGGAACACTCCGGGCGGGGGCAGCTCGTCTTTCGGAGATCTCGTTCGGCCCAAAAACAGATGCTGCTCGCGGGTTTCGGCGGGCGTGGTCGTGTCGATCGCCTCGGGCCCCCTCTCGAGATCGGGCGCGCAATCGATCTCCTGGGCGTTCGCGCTTCCGTCGTAGGGGGGGCATGCCGGATGGCTCCTCCAGTCCCCCGCGAAGAATGCGGGGTCGGCACGCGGCACTTTCGCTTCCGAGGCCCACCCGCAGCGAGCTGCCAGCAGGAAACGGAGGCGATGGACCTCAGCAGATCGACGGAGACGGCGGGCCTCGCGAGTGCATCGCTCGAGCCGCCTCCTGCGCTCAGCGCGCCCTCGGCGCCTGAGCTGCCGCAGGGAAAAGCGCGCGCCCTGCAGCTCCCGACACCCTGGAACATAATGGGCCGATGTTTCAGGACCCCTCGTACTCCGCGCCCCGCTCGGCGAGCCCGGCGCGGGCCTCCGCGCGAAATCGCGCCAGCTTCCGTCGTCTCTCACGGAATCGTACTGCATGGGGATCGTCAGCCTTGCTCGTCTGGCCGAGGAACTGCTGTGCGCGGGAGCGAGTGAGGTCCACGCACTTCTTCCAGTAGCCGTCGATGTCACCTGAGATGCCGTACTACGCGAGCTCCGCGCACTGTTCGAGTGCCGTCCCCGAGGCACTCTGGAACTCAAGTCGGTTGGTGCCCTCCTGCAGTACGGCCGCCAATATATCTCGATCCCATCGGAAGGTGTCGTGTTGCCGGCTGCGGTGCTGGTAGGCAATGAATTAATGAATTCAGCGATGATCGGAACATGGTATCTCGGCACCACACTCGGTGTCAGCTGCAGGCGTCCCGCCGGCCTCCATGGGATAAAACAGCGCCGGATCTGCTCGTGGAGCGCCAACGGCATCAGCACATGGTCCACTGTGCTGGTCGAGCCGTCGTAGTGATAGTACGGCGGACCTGCCTTCACCGAGAAGCTGTCAACATTCATCAGACCGTGTGGTATATCAAATCCTGCCATCTCTGATCGCGTATGACACTATTGTTGCACAGGTGGCGGCCGCCGTTGTTGTAGGCCTTCTCTGCATTCTCCACGTTGAACACGGGTGGAGACACGATCGATCCGATACGAAGTCCAATACCAGTCCAATACCAGTCGATCGTGCAAGTGCTGATTTCACTTGCTGTGTGTAGCCCATTGCACCAGCTCGCGCGAGCCTTCTTCGAGGCCCGCCTCTTGCGAGCAAAGTCGTCCTTCAGCGGGGGCACGTACAATAGCACGATCGTCAAGTCCAGGGATCCCCGTGGGATCCCCGTGCGGCGATTCCTCGTCACTGGACGGCGGGAGGTAGGGTGCTGACGGTCCGAATGAGCATGCACCCAGCCGCACGGTTCGAGAAAGGAACAGCAACCCATCCCGCAGACATACCATATCCACCATGCTCGATGTGCCACTCCTGGACAGGGTCGCCTGGTGGAGCGCGGAAGCGGGTGCCCGCTAGGCCGATGATGTCAGCGTGGATGTCTGTCTATCTATTCGCGGGTCTATCCGCTTCAATCAAAGACACAGGATTGTACAGTGCCAGTCTGAAAAAAACCATGGCCCACAAGGGTGAGTGCGTCCCTTGGCGTTCCCGCCCCGAGATCGTGTGTGGGCAAACCACAGAAAGTGTACTATGGAAGAACATGCGGTATAATACATGGATGCTGCATTGTGTGTGCGGGGCTGCCCAGAGCAGCTGGGATACAGGGGCGGGACATACTCTGCTCAGAACAAGCCCCCCCGACGCCTCCCATGGCTCCACCGAGGCCCGTGCCCCAAGGTGCTTCCTCCTCTTTCTTCTCCTCCTTTTTCTTTTCCTCCTCTTTCTTCTCCTCCCCCTTCTCCTCCTCCTCCGCCTCCTCCTCCTCCTCCTCCGCCTCCTCCTCCCCCTACGCCTCCTCCTCCTCCTCCTCGTCCGCCTCCTCCCCCCTTCTCCTCCTCCTCCTCCTCTTTATCCTCCTCCTCCACCTCCTCCTCCGCCTCCTCCTCCCCCCTCCTCCTCCTCCTCCTCCTCCTCCTCTTCCTCCTCCTCCTCCTCCTCTTCTTCCATTTCCATTTCCATTTCCATGTCTCTCCTCCTCCTCCTCCTCCTCCTCCTCTCCTCCTCCGCCTCCTCCTCCTCCTTCTCCTCTTCTTCCATTTCCATTTCCATTTCCTCCTCCTCCTCCGCCTTCTCCTCCTCCCCATCCAGCGCCTCCTCCTCCTCCTCCTCCTCCTCCTCTTCCTCCTCCTCCTCCACTCCTCCTCCGCCTCCTCCTCCCCCCTCCTCCTCCTCCTCCTTCTCCTCCTCTTCCTCCTCCTCCTCCTCCTCCCTCCTCTTCTTCCATTCCTCCATTTCCATTTCCTCCTCCTCCCTCCTCCTCCTTCTCCTCTTCCTCCTCCTCCTCCGCCTCCTCCTCCGCCTCCTCCTCCCCCCTCTCCTCCTCCTCCTCCTCCTCCTCCTCCTCCTCCTCCTCCTCTTCCTCCTCCTCCGCCTCCTCCTCTTCCATTTCCATTCCATTTCCTCCTCCTCCTCCTCCTCCTCCTCCCTCCAGCGCCTCTCCTCCTCCTTCTCACCACCAACACCACCACCACCACCACCATTCCTGCTCCTCCTCCTCCTCCTCCTCCTCCTCCTCCTCCTCGCCTCCTCCTCCTCCTCCTCCTCCTCCTCCTCTTCCTCCTCCTCCTCCTCCTCTTCCTCCTTTTCCTCCTCCTCCTCCACTCCTCCGCCCCCTCGCCCCTCCCCCGCACCCAAGAGTGGAGCGACGAGGCCGCCAGGAGGGCCCAGAACGTAAAACGACGAGGGGGGGGCGCCCCCTCAACGCGCGCGCGCGCGTCGGTGTGTGTGTGTGTGTGTGTGTGTGTGTGTGTGTGTGTGTGTCGGCCTTCGGACCCTGACCTGGGCCTCGGGCGGCCGTTCGAGACAACGGGCGGCCCTTCCTGGCGCTCCGCACGCCCTCTCCGAGCCTCGCGGAAGCTTCTCGCCGCTCTCGGCTGGATCCGCTCCGCGAGACGGGTACGTCGTCGTCGTCGTCGTCGTCGTCGTCGTCGTCGTCGTCGTCGTCGTCGTCGCCGCCGCCGCCGCCGCCGCCGCCGTCGCCGTCGCCGTTGCCGTCGCCGTCGCCGTCGCCGCCGCCACGGAGCGCCTGGGGACAGTCTCCGAGCGCACCCGCCTGGGCCGGCCGCCGGCCGGGCGGGGAGGCCGCCGCTGTCTCAGCGGGCCCCCCCTCCGATCCTCCCCTCGCGGGGAGGCAGGGGGAGGGCACCCCCTAGACATGTTGGGCGGCGCGCAAAGGGCGGGCCTTGGAGGACTCGCTTCGTGCACCCTTTGGGCACGCGGCGGCAATGCATGGGCCAGTCGGGGCGTCTTCGGTGCCGCTCTCCTGCAGTCCTCGATCCTCCCCGCACGTCTGTGGCCCCTCCGCTGCCGCCCGCCCGCTTTTGCCCCCGCCGCCTTCCGCAGGCGGAGCCGCCCCCCACTTCCGCCTGCCCGTCTGCGGCCTTCCGCCGAGGGTGACGGGGCCCAGAGACACAAAAATAAATACACACAAATCACAGGATTCCCGATATCTTTTACAACTCTTCTTGCTGTTCGTCTTCCCCCCCCCTTCCCATATTTGCCAATATTTTCTGGGGGGTCGGCGATTCATTGTGCCTGTATGTGTTTTCCCCCTCCCGAGAAAGACGGGGCGCCGACCCCTCTAAGTGTCGCAGGCGAGGGCCCCGCGGGAACGCCCAAGCTGTTGTCTGCTGTCTGCAGGCGCTGGGGGCGGGGCCGTCGCCCCCGCGGGGGCGGATAGTCGGCTGCACGCATGGCAGGGGCCTCTTCCGTAAAGGGTGCCGGGGTGCGTCGATGGGGTCGGAGGACCGCGCCGCATCGCCGATGCATCGCCGATGCATCGGCGACGCGCCGGCGCCTTCGGCGTGGGGAATATCGGGCTCCACATCGAGCCGCATCGGCGCTGCATCGGCGATGCGGCGCGATCCTCCGAACCCAACGGCTCCGACCCCGTCTGGGAGGCCTAGGTTCCAAGCGCCGGGGTGTCCGTCGCCCCGGCGAAGAGAAGCGAATCGGCTACACGCAAGAAGTTGTCTCGGGCAAGGGTGCTGGGTTTTGGTGCGAGGGCTGGCAGACCACCGCGCGCGATTGGGCAGCATGGGCTGGCGCGCTTGGGCTTGCGCCCTGGTCCTCCTCCTCCTCCTCCTCCTCCTCCTCCTCCTCCTCCTCCTCCTCCTGCGCCCCAAGAGAAAGCCGCGCAACAAAGGTAACTCTGGCGAAGGACCACTCTTGCGCGCGGCTGGGAGAGAGAGGGAGAGAGAGAGAGAGGCTGCCCAGGCTGCCCACGGCCGGGGCCTCATATCGCCGTGCCCGAACTCGGGACCTGGCTTCCAGGGCAGCGGGGCGGAAAGCACGCGCGCGAGGACATGTGAGGTGCACGGGGAGGAGAAGGACGATCACCTCCACCTCCACCTCCACCGTCATCCTCCCCGTTCTTTTCCTGCTGCGCCCCCTCCTGCTTGGCCCTCTCTGCGTTATCCGCCTCTCCGAGCACATCGCAGGACGACAGCACCGAACGCACAAATTGGTACCCTCCACGATGTCGTTGAGGCCACGAAGAGTTGATTTTGTTGAGCGGCACGCGCATCGCAACTGCGCAGCAACCACGTCCAGCGGACCACTACTTTCAAAACTAATAGTGTCCAAACGCCGACATAACAGTGGTTCTGAACTGAGCCGCTTCCGACTCGCAGAGTCTCATGTTCTCCGACACGGCGAGACAAACCTACCCGCATGCCTATCACGCCGTGCCCGCTTGAACCCACACAACACAACGGTTTCGTACCTCTAAATGGATGGCCTTGACACAAGGCGTGCAATGAATGATGCCGTCCCTGCCTTCCTCCCCATCCAAGAACGGAGCGGCGCGCACGCGTGGCCCCAGTATGACGATGAGGATGAGGAGGCGGGAAGGAGAATCACGAGGATGAAGATGATGAGGAAGAGTAGAGGATGAGGAGGAGGAGGAGGAGGAGGAGGAGGAGGAGGAGGAGGAGAAGGTGGAATAGACGAGAAACTGAATGAAAATACATAATCGAAGGCTTTCGGGAGGGCTCTGGAAGCTTGCTATGGTTCTGGGTGCGTTTCTTTATTATGTTCTGCGGGGTCAGATGTTCCCAAGGAGGAGGGAGGATGAGGAGGAGGAAAAGGGAGGTATATGAGGAGCTACAGGAGGAGGAGGAGGAGGAGGAGGAGGAGGAGGAGGAGGAGGAGGAGGAGGAGGAGGAGGACGAGGAGGAGGAGGAGGAGGAGAAGGAGGATGAGGAGGAGGAGGAGGAGGAGGAGGAGGAGGAACCGAAGTGACGGCCGCCGACTCCAGAGAACCAGAGAGAACACACCTGTTTATACACAGACTTACTCATACTCAGAACTACTCATACTCATACCTTCTCATGGTCTGACTGACTCAACACACAACATGCAGGCCTACTCATACTCAGATTTACTCATGCTGGGACTCCTTCGTACCCAGACTTACTCATGCCCAGACTCGTCATACACAGACTCACTCATACTCAGACCTACACATACTCAGACCTTCTCATAATGTGTGTTGCTCAACCCACGGACTGAAACCTACTCATACTCAGACCTACTCATACTCAGACTCGCAAGGAGAGCCGCCAAGGGTGTTTTCACGGGCACGTTCGCGGCCAGTTTGTGGGGATGTCTCAAGCGGTTTGCTCGTTTTCATGCCCAACATCCTTGGCTTTCAGATCAGATTTTGACGATGTCTCAGGCGGGGCGCTGGTTTCAGCACCCCTACGGGGAGCCGCCAGGAGTGTTTTCACGGGCCCGTTCGCGGTCAGTTTGCTGGGATGTCTCAAGCGGTTTGCTCGTTTTCATGCCCAACATACTCGGTTTTCAAAGCAGAATTTGAGGATGTCTCAAGCGGGGCGCTGGTTTCAGCACCCCCAAAAGGAGCCGCCAGGTGTGTTTTCACGGGCCCGTTCGCGGCCAGTTTGTGGGGATGTCTTAAGCGGTTTGCTCGTTTTCATGGCCAACATCCTTTGCTTTCAGAGTTTGAGGATGTCTCAGGCGGGGCGCTGGTTTCAGCACCCCTACGGGGAGCCGCCAGGGGTGTTTTCACGGGCCCGTTCGCGGCCAATTTTGCGGGGATGTCTCAAGCAGTATGCTCGTTTTCATGCCCAACATCCTTGGTTGTCTAAGCAGATTTTGAAAATGTCTCAAGCGGGGCGCTGGTTTCAGCACCCCGAAGGAGAGCCGCCAGGGGTGTTTTCACGGGCCCGTTTGTGGCCAGTTTGTGGAGACGTCTCAAGCGGTTTGCTCGTTTTCATGCCCAACATCCTTTGCTTTCAGATCAGATTTTGAAGAAGTTTCAGGCGGGGCGCTGGTTTCAGCACCCCTACGGGGAGCCGCCAGGGGTGTTTTCACGGGCCCGTTCGCGGCCAGTTTGTGGGGATGTCTCAAGCGGTATGTTCGTTTTCATGCCCAACATCCTTGGTTTTCAAAGCAGAATTTGAAGATGTCTCAAGCGGGGCGCTGGTTTCAGCACCCCCCAGCCCGAGACGCGGCTCGGCCGTCGCGCGGCGCCGCGTCCTGCGCGGCCGGCGCGCAGCTCCAGCCAGCGCCGCGGCGAGCAGGAGAGGCGCAGCCCTGGGGAGCTCGCCCCCGCGGAGGCGGGCGCCAGCCGCCGCCCGCTGCTCGCCCCGCCGAGCGCCGCTCGCGCAGGCGGAGAACGCGGTCTCGCTCTCGCAGAGGCGGCCGCGACTTGGAGGAGCGCAGGCGCCCCTCCAAGTCGCGCAGGCGCAGCTCCCAGTCGCGCCGCCGCGGCGGCAGAGCCGCGCCCGCGCAGCTCGATCTGACAGCCGCGCCCGAGGCGCTGGCCACGCTGGCCCCGCTGACGGGCATCATCACGGAGAGGGAGCAGGTCAAGGAGCAGCTGGCCAGGAAGGAGCAGGAGCTGCGCCAGGCGCGCGAGGAGAAGGAGCGGCTGCGCCAGGAGCTGGAGAGCAAGAAGGAGCAGCTGCACCACGAGAAGGAAGCCAAGGAAGCAGCCGAGGAGACAGCCAAGGACTACCACGACATGTACCACATCGAGAAGGACGGCAAGGCCAAGACGTCTGAGGAACACCGCTCGCTCCAGCGGCAACTCGAGGAGCTCGAGGGGGCGAGCCGCAGGACGGCGCGCAAGCTGCTGCGGGAGCGCGACGCAGAGAGGCGGGCCAAGGAGGAGACGCAGAGGGAGAACCGGCACCTGCGCCGAGCGGCCGCGGGCAGCGCCGCCGCCGCGCCGACCGCGCGGCGCTCGCGGAGGGCGGCCTTCGCGTGGCCGGCCGCCCTGGCCGTCAAGACTGAGGTCGTGGACTCAGACGAGGACCGAAAGGTGTCCGCGCGGCTGGCCAGGGAGCAGCAGCAGCAGGCCCAGGCCGCTGCGAGCGGGCAGGACAACGACTCCGAGGAGGAGGAGGAGCCCGCGGGGGCGCTGGCGCCGGCAGCGGGCGGCGCCGCGCAGCCGCCGGCAGCGAGCCGAGGGCGAGGCGAGGAGCAGCGCGCCGCTCCGCCCGCTCCAGACGGCGCCAGGGAAGAAGCGCTCCGCGCAGAAGACGACGAGGAAGAAGACGGCGACGACAGCAGCAGCACGGAGGAAGAGCTGCCCGACGAGCGCGCCGCCGAGGCCCCGCGCGCCGCGGGAGAGGCTGCCCCCCGCGGCGGCGGCGGGGAGACCGCCTGCGGCGGCGACCCCGAGGTCGACTACGACGCCGACGACGTCCGGCCTGGAGCGGCAGTGCGCGGAGAAGGCGAGGCCCCGGAGTGAGAGAGAGAGAGAGAGAGAGAGAGAGAGAGAGAGAGAGAGAGAGAGAGAGAGAGAGAGAGAGAGAGAGAGAGAGAGAGAGAGAGAGAGAGAGAGAGAGAGAGAGACGCGGGCGCCCCGCGCCGCGCGAGGGAACAGCACTGACGGCGCGCGCGCCAGGCGGCACGGCAAAACAGCGCGCGCTCGAGCCCGCCCGCTCTCGCGTGCCGCCCAGGCCTCTCGCCCATCGTCGTCGCGTCCGGCGAAGGCTCAGACGCCGCCCGTCGTCGTCGCGTCCGGCGAGGGCTCGGGGCTGATGAGCGCGCCCATCTGCCCGCCGCCCGCCTTGGCCGCCGGGCTCGTCCTCATCGGCGTGCCGAAGCCCACGAGCACGAGGAGAAAACCGACAGCGACGCCCACCCACGTGTAGGAGCTGGGCTGGCACTTCCCGTTTTTGCTAGCAGTCTTCTGCTGGCTGAGGAAGCCGCGCGCCACCGGGGGGATTCCGCCCCAGGCCCGCGTCTTCGGACTGAGCTTTATGGCTGCCTCCCTCTCTTGTCTCAGCGCGCAATGTTTTCGCAGACGTCGGCCCGAGAGGACAGATCCGCAGCGGCGCGCCCACGGCGCGCTGCTTCGTCTGCGGGCGGGTGCAGGGCCGCGCCGAGACCTGGAGGGGCGTCGCAGCGCTGCGCGGCGAGGACGAGGCGCGCGTCAACTTCGAGAGCGGCCTGAGCCACTGCTGCGCCCGAGGCGCCACGGACAGCATTCTGCGGCGCCAGCTGCGCCGCCTGGGCCTCGGCGGCCCGCGCCGGGAGGAGGAGGGGGGGGCGGGGGAGGAGCGCGCGCGCCGCTGGCCGGCGCGCGTCGCCTGCACCGCCCCGGCGCGGGCCTGGACGAGGCCTTCCTGGAAGGCCTCGGGGCCGTGGGCTGGGTCTCGGCCAGGCCCCCGCGCCTCGAGGGCGGCCGCGGGGGGCTGGGCCCGCAGCTGCACATGCGCGCTCGCGTGCTCCCTCCCGCCGCCCCCGCCACGTGGAGGAACGAGCAGGCGCGGGGCCGCAACGACTTCTGGCGCAGAGCGAGCACTCAGGTGCTGACGCGCGCCGAGCCGCGGCCGGCGCTGCGCCGCGAGCACGGGGGTGGCCTCGAGCGCGTGCTGCGCGTCGACGTGTGGCTGCCGGCGCCCGTGCGGGGGTGCATTGAGTGCCGCCCCCCGCGCTGCGGGGTGCGCATGCGCCCGAATATGCGCCTCGGCCTGCTCGCCAGCGAGGTCGAGAGCACGCCCGGCGGCTCGCGCGTGCTCCTGGGCCCGCGCACAGCGGAGCAGAGCACGGCGCGCCCGCAGGCCGTGCGGCTCTCCCTCAAGTGGCGCGGGCCCAGCCTGCTGCGCGTGGCGCTCTCTGCCCGGCTCGGGGAGGAGGGGGGGGGTGGAAGCCTCGCTGGCGGAGGTGCTGCGCGAGCTCTTCGGCAAGGAGGGCGCCGAGACCTGAGAAGGACGACCTGGCGAGCCTCTTCCTCGAGGCCGTCCGGAGGCGCGCCCCGCTCGTGGCCAGCGCGGACGCGCGGGCGGCCCAGTTCCAGACCCTGCTGGGCGAGCGCGCCCTCGGCGGCCTCTCGGGCCCGCTGCAGGGGCCCGCGCGCAGCGCGGCCGCGCGCGTCGCCGAGCTACTGGCGCCCTGCGCGCCCGGCAGCGAGGCCCCGGACCTGAGCGCCGCGGTGCAGGCGCTGGCGCCGCAGCCGGCGCGCCAGCCGGCCGCGCAGGTGGACGCGCGCACCGATCCGGCCCTGGACGGCACAGACCTCCTGGCGCGCCTCTACTGCCGGGCCCTGGCGCCCGCGCTCATGCCCGGCACCGAGGGCCCCTCGGAGCGCGCCAAGGACGTGCTGTCGCCCGCGAGCGTCAGCGCTGCTGCTCTGCGGCGCGCCCTCCTCGCCGCGCTGGCGCGGCTGCGCCGGGGCGTCCAGGCGGAGCTGCTCCGAGCGCGGCGCCCCTGCGAGGAGGCGGCGGAGGGGCTGCAGGGGCTGAGGCCTCAGATGAGGTGCGGCGCCTGCGCTGGCGAGCTGCCCTGCCGCGCGTGCGCGCCGCCCGCCCGGGCGGCCTGCCGCTGCTGCCTGGCGGAGCGGCCGCGGCCGTGCACCGCGGCGTGCGCGGCGCCGCCCGCCTGCGCCAAGACGGGCCGCCCTGGGGAGCTGGAGGCGGCCTCGGCCAAGCGGCTGCTGCGCGTGCGCTGGCCGCTCGGGGGCGCCAGCTGCCCCCTGTGCGGCTCGGCCGCGCGCGCGGCGGCGGAGTGCGAGCAGTGCGGGGAGGGGCAGAAGCTGGAAGCCGCGTGGCTGCCCGCGCCGCAGGGCGCCCGGCGGCGCGCGGCCGCGCGCGTGAAGATGAGGCCCGGCGCCGCGGCGTGGTGGGGGGCCCCGCGGCCTGGGCTGCTGCGGCTCGCGCGCCACCGCGGCTGGTTGTGCCGCGGCGGCGCCGCCCCGGCGCTGCTGGTCCCAGCGCTGGGCAGGCTGGGCGCCGCCGAGCTGGCGCGCGAGCTGCCCCTGCTCATGCTGCGCAAGCTCCGCGGCCCGGGCGCGGGCGCGCGCGCGGACGCGCCGCGCGAGGAGCGCGGCGTCCGGCGGCGCGAGCCGCCCCTCCACGACGCCACCTGCGTGGGCGCGGGGCTCCGGCCCTCCCAGGTCAGGCGCGAGGGCCGGCTGCGCCGCCGCAGCGCGCGGACGAAGCGCGGCCGCGCCGACCACTACGACGCCAGCGACAAGACCCAGGGCCAAAAAGAGGCGGCGCCCGCCTCGCTGCGCTTCCCCCCCTCCGCGCTTCAGGACGAGGAGGGCGAGCGCGCGTCTGCGGAGGCCGTGCAGGCGGCGGCGGCCGCGATGATCGAGGAGCGCGAGGCAGGCGCGGCGGCGCCCCAGCACTGCCGCCTGCTGGTGGAGCACTGCGGGCTGCCGGGGCGCTCGCGCCGGTGGCTGCGCGCTCGGCCGGGGCCGCCTCTCTGGTGACGACGTCGGCGCCCTCGCGCGCGACGTCTGGCTCAGCCTGGAGGAGGCGGCGCTGCTGAACCGCCGGCTGCGGCGCGAGCTGGACGTGCGCATGGTGGAATTCCGCGTCGGCGAGCTGGCGGGGCTCTCCGGCGCCGGGCGCGCCCGGGTCCTGGGAGAGGCCCGCGTGGGGCTCTCCTCCTCCTCCTGTCCGAAGAGGACCAGCGCCTGCGGGGCGACGAGCCGCCCCTCACCTACTCGCTGCCCCTCGGCGAGCTGCAGATGCACTGCCCTCGGGCCCTGGCCCTGCCGCCCCCGCCGGGGCACCCCGCGCGGCAAGGCCCTCAGACGAGGGCCATGCCCGCCTGCTGCACGGAGAGGCCCGCGAGTCTCAGGGCCGCGGAGGGCCGCGGCCCGGTCGCTGCGCCCTGCGCCTGGTCGCCCACGGTGAGCGACGGCCGCCTCGGGGCGGGCGGCCACGGCGCGCGCGCGCAGGGCGCGCTCTTCTCTGTGGCGTACCTCGACCACTTCGACGGCAGCACCTACGAGGACGCGGGCAGCACCACGGAGCAGTTCGCGCAGGAGCAGGGCCGCTGCTTCGCCCTGGCCACGCCGCTGCAGGTGCGCGGGCAGGACAAGCGAGCGCAACGCGTCGCCCCGCTGGCGGAGCTGCGCCGCAGGGCGCCGCTCCGCCAGCAGGCCGCCGACCGCCGCTACGACCACCTGGGCAGCTCCGGGCGCGCCCGCGGCTTCGTGCTGAAGGGCGCCGCGCTCGCGGCGCTGCAGGACGGAGAGCACGTCAGGGCGCCCTTCGACGCGTGGGTCGAGGACTGGAGCGAGTCGCGGCGCGGCGTGGACGTCGTGGTGCTCGTGGCGCAGCACGCCTGGCAGTCGGGCGTCAAGGTCGCGTGGCAGCTCCAGAAGAGCGTGCTCACCAGCGTGTCCAACGGGCTCTGGGCGGCCGGCGCGGCCCTGCTACGTGATCGCCTTGACAAGCGCAGGAAACGGCAACGTATTGACCATGGCAGAGGCGAATCCCAGCAACCTTCGAGCGCACGTGGATCTGGACGGCCTCTCTTCCACCCCCCTTTCCCGTCCTCTTTGGGTGGGGCGGCGTAGTTCGAGCTTCCCGGGTGGCCCAGCATGGCTCTCATAACGCCTTGGGAACTTCAAGACGCGCTGCAAGGTGGCCCGAGATGTCCCGGGGCGCCCAAGGAGGCCTCAATGCGGCTCCAGGTGGCCGCCGAGATCTCCCAAGGGAAATCTCTACAAAGTCTAACGAAACGCAGTGACACTTGGGATCAGGTAGCCACGCGCACTCTCGAGCTGGAACCGGCGACTGAGCGGCTGGTGGGGATGCGCGAAGCGACAGCAATTCTTTTTTTTTTCCTCCCCTGGAGTCTCGGATGCGCGGCTCCCCACGGGGGCTCGCGGGCACGCGGTCTAAGGAAGCTACCCTGCGGAACGGCGTTTCGCCGAAAGTAGTCCGCGGGAGTCCGGGCAGTGGCCCCGCGCTGAGGAATGGCAGTTCGCCGAAAGTAGTCCGCGGGAGTCCGGGCAGTGGCCCCGGGAAGGTCGGATCAGAGATGGCTTTCCTCCCGGGAGCAGCCCTCAAGACCCTCCAGAGAGCCCCGAGAAGGGCCAAGAGGCCCACAAGACGGTACAAGAGGGCTCCGAGATGCCACGATATCGCCCAAAGACGCCCTGCCCCTCCCCATCCAGGAAAAAAAAAAAGGGAAGCCCCAAGAGTCACCCGACACGCCCACGGGAGGCCCCCCCCCTCCCCCCTAAATACTTCCAGTGCCGCGCAAGTGAATGCCGGCGATGCTCCACTATGGGCCGGCGGAATGAACGAGCATCGTGAAGCGAAAATCAAGCGCGACGCGTGACTCCTCAGCGGTAGCCAGATGCATGAAACGATTGTTTGAAACGATGAGTGAATATGTGGGCCCATGCAGCAATGGCTCTCCGTGGCGACTGCCCCGTCCAGGCCATTGCGAACATTGGAGGTTATACATATAATCCAAAACTAGAATCATGCTAAGTGGTTGGTCGGAGATCTAGAGCTGGCATATTGGGCACTTCCAGCTGTAAACAAAATTGGGATTCGCTACCGCGCTCCCTCCCTACGCAGCAACAACACGCAAAAGCATGACGCTTAATCCGGCGCAGCAATTGGATCCGGAAATGCCAGGTGCATCGCCACACATACATGAAATAAATTGCTCATGTTTTGCTTTGCTTTCTCACAGCCAGTCCAATAATCAAACGCCATTCTTTAGTATCATCAAGCGCCGCCGTTTGCTCTCGGGGAGTCGTGAAACAGCGCCTTCACGCATGCAGCGGAACGGCTTTGAAATGATGATGACATGTCTCCTCCTCCACGTTCGAATGCGCCTAAGCGGTGCTCAAGAACCTGATTGCTGCGCGGAGCCCCAAGCGGCGCGCCAGGCGCGAGACGAGCCTCTCGAATTCCTCTTCGAGGCCTTCGTCGTCAGTGCTGTCCCCTCGGTTCTGTCGTACAGTGATTCTTTGGTCCAGGCATGGAACGCACAGAGGGGCCCTCTCGTGTCCGCTGGGACCCGCGACGACGAAGGTCCCACAGGTGTATATTGTTGTTCGTCGTCGTCTTGGTCGTCGTCCTGGTCGTCGTGGTCGTCGTCGTGGTCGTGGTCGTCGTCGTGGTCGTCGTGGTCGTGGTCGTCGTGGTCGTGGTCGTCGTCGTGGTCGTCGTCGTGGTCGTCGTGGTCGTGGTCGTCGTCGTGGTCGTCGTCGTGGTCGTGGTCATTTGCCGCGCTCGTCCGCGAAGCGGTGCATATCGCTGCGATCTTGCGCGCTGGTTCCAGCACGCGTTCTCGTCTCCCCAAAGGTAGCACTGGGAACACCCGGCGCAGCAACAATGGGACGCATCATGCACGTAAGCCATGGCTGATAGCCTGGGCGGCGACGGCGCGGCACTGCAAGTGAGCATGTGCGCATAGACAAGGACAAATATTGAGGAGCAGAGAGCGGAAGAAGATAATAACAACTGTAAGTCCGTTCTCGGCCGTCGTCGTCACGTGGTCGTCGCTGGTCTCCTGGCGCCGCGGCCCGACATTGCCTTCCAGTGGCCCAGGCCGCCGGGAGTATGCTGGACATCGAGGCCGAGGAGGGACGCTGACCGCATCGACCACTGCGACGGCGGCGACGACGACGACGGGTTCGTATCGCGTCCACCCTCGCTGCGATTACCGACACCGAGGGCCTCGCTCAAACCTCGGACGGTCGGCCGTTTCCCGAACGACAAACCATTCCAACGTCGACCGCTCTCGGGCCGCCGACGGTGTGCAGCCTTGAACGCTGCCTGCGGGGTCGCCGCCACTCGACACGACGCGAGCCCGCCGCACGTTTGCTCTTGGGCTCGGCCGGAACATGGCCACGCGAACGTGGATCGAGAATGCGAGCCCACTGGGCGACGTGTGGTCTCACGATGCCTCCGCTGAGATGCCGAAGAAAAACTCAATCTGTGGCTTGGTAGCGAAGCTATAGTTTTTTATTTTTCCTAAATTTCTTCTCTTGTTCCTCTTTTTTTCTTTTTTTGTCCGCTCTCTTGTCTAATTCTTCTTCAAATGTAACCCTCCTTGAATCCAACCAGAACTGGGTCTCGAGATTTTCCTCAAGAGGAGTGGAATTTCTAAAGACAAAATCGAAACGAGTTGTTCTTTCTTCTTTTCTTGTTTTTTTCTCATTGTTTGGAAATCTCCTCGTTGCATCCTGAAAGGAATTTCCCTTCTTCCCCCCTCTGGAATTTTAAGAAAAATCCCCTGTGTTTAGGCAAAAAGGAGGAACAACAAGAAGGATACATAACTTCTCTCAGACTAACCCGAAGCAGGCAAGTGTAACATTCCCCGAGAGGACAGCGGGGATCTCGGAATTTCTCATGGAGGCCACCGGGGCACTTAGGATTTCCTCGAGACGACAGCGGGGATCTCGGAATTTCCTGGGGAAAACCGCGGGGATCTAAGAATTTTGGAGAGAGGTAAGACGAGATCTGGGAATTCTCGAAAGGGGAACAGCGGGAATCTTGGGATTTTGGAGGAAGGAAGGACGAGGTCGGGTAATTTTCGCCAGAGAACAGCGAGGGTCTGGGATTTTCGGAGGGAGGAAAGACGAGGTCGGGTAATTTTAGCAGTAGAACAGCGGGGATCTGGGAATTTTGGAGGGAGGCGAAGTGAGGTCTGGGGATTTCCTGCGGGCGAAAGCAGGGGTCTGGGGATTTCCTACGGGCGAAAGCGGGGGCCTCCGCGATCATCAGATTTTGAGGATGTCTCAGGCGGGGCGCTGGTTTCAGCACCCCTACGGGGAGCCGCCAGGGGTGTTTTCACGGGGCCGTTCGCGGCCAGTTTGTGGGGATGTCTTAAGCGGTTTGCTCGTTTTCATGGCCAACATCCTTTGCTTTCAGAGTTTGAGGATGTCTCAGGCGGGGCGCTGGTTTCAGCACCCCTACGGGGAGCCGCCAGGGGTGTTTTCACGGGGCCGTTCGCGGCCAGTTTGTGGGGATCTCTCAAGCGGTTTGCTTGTTTTCATGCCCGACACCCTTGGCCTTCACACCAAATTCTGAAGATGTCTCAGGCGGGGCGCTGGTTTCAGCACCCCCAAGGAGAGCCGCCATCGGTGTTTGCACGGGCCCGTTCGCGGCCAGTTTGTGGGGATCTCTCAAGCGGTTTGCTTGTTTTCATGCCCGACACCCTTGGCCTTCAGACCAGATTTTGAGGGGTGTCTTAGGCGGGGCGCTGGTTTCAGCACCCCCAAGGAGAGCCGCCAAGGGTGTTTTCACGGGCCAGTTTGCGGCCAGTTTGTGGGGATGTCCCAGGCGGTTTGCTCGTTTTCATGCCCAAGGTTTTCAAAGCAGATTTTGAGGATGTCTCAAGCGGGGCGCTGGTTTCAGCACCCCCAAGGAGAGCCGCCAGGGGTGTTTTCACGGGCCCGTTCGCGGCCAGTTTGTGGGGATCTCTCAAGCGGTTTGCTTGTTTTCATGCCCAAAATCCTTTGCTTTCATATCAGATTTTGAAAATGTCTCAGGCGGGGCGCTGGTTTCAACACCCCTACGGGGAGCCGCCAAGGGTGTTTTCACGGGCCCGTTCGCGGCCAGTTTGTGGGGATGTCTCAAGCGGTATGCTCGTTTTCATGCCCAACATCCTTGGTTAGCAAAGCAGGTTTTGAGGATGTCTCAGGCGCGGCGCTGGTTTCAGCATGCCTAAGGAGAGCCGACAGGGGGTGTTTTCACGGGCCCCTTCGCTATTATAGTCAAGCGCCCATGAAGAGACGCTCGCTATAACATGACATAAAGCATGAGATGCACATGTGGGGAGCTCCACGCAGTGAGTAATTTTTAAAACTATCTTTGAATATTCCTCCTGTCGAGGGACACGCCCGACTTCGAGCAAGGCGGGTCTGGGCGAGCCGAAGCCGCAGCGCACGAGCGCTCCGCGAGCGGGCACTGGGGGCGAGCCGCAGCACGAGCGAGAGGCGCGCAGCGGGCCCGCTCCGGCGATGGGGGCTCGCGGCGGGCGAGCAGGAGCGACTCCCGGCCTCCCCGCGGCACGCCGCCCGGCTCCCGGGGGGAGGCGAGCGCGCGCGACGGGAGGCGCCAGGAGAGAGGGCGTGGAAGGGAAAAGGGCGGCGGGGCTTCCCAAAACGGGGGTTTCGCGAAACGGGGGCTTGGGCTTTCTCATGCCCCCGTTTGCTGTGCCCACGTCTGCGGCGCCCAGGGCCCCCTAAGCGGGGGCATAGCCAAACGTGGAGATCGGCGTTCCCCGTGCCCCCGTTTGCTGTGCCCCCGTCTCTGGCGCCCTGAGGGCGGCGGAGGCGAGACTGGCTGGGGCGGGGGCGGGACTGGGCACGGGGAGGGCAGCGATCGGGGAGACGTGGGACTCGGGTTGGCCTGGCGGGGCCATCGTAAAAAACGGCGAGGCCCAATCTGAAATGTGACGCGAGCTCCCGCTGCAGACGTCCCAGGAAA